GATATATACCCAGTATCAGATACCATAAGAGTGGTGTGATTATAGAGCTAAGTGCTCACTTTTTATTGATATGCATTTAATTATACAATTAGTTCTTTAGTAGTAAACAGTTTTAAATGGTTACTTTATTCTAGTTGTTTCTAGTTATTTCTATAATTTGTTAATTATTTATCCTACTTCCGCATTGAATGTATTTATATTTGCGAAAAAAAATAGTTTAATTTGTAAATTTGTTGTATGTTTGTATATAGTTATTAACAGACAAATTGATATTTGTTCAGTAGTGATTATTTATACGTTAAATACTTTACTGGTATCCCACGTCCGCATTAAATGTATTTATATGTGTATTACTATTCATCTGTACCAGAGTGATTAATAAAGCAAAAGTGCTCACTTATCCAACATTTTCATTATGTTTCTTTAATATTTAGGTTGGGACAACAGCGTTGTTCATGAGTGCTGAAAACGGTAATAGTGATATTTGTAGACTTCTTATTCAATCAGGAGCAAACAAGGATATTCAAACTAAAGTAAGTGCAAACATTTTTGTTTCTGGTCTGTATAATTTTACGAGATAAGTCTGATATATCTTACATGCTAATTAAGTCGTATATTTTTTAGCATCCATATTCATTTTAGTATCTATGTTTCTATAAGTTGTAGAATGTGGCAACGACATTGTGTATATATAAAATGTGTCGCCTTCAATTTTGTTGCTTTTAATTGTGTAATTATACACAGTTCGAAGGATACTTAGCCTCCATTTTTAAGTACTGATCACCAGGATTCTGATCCTAGTTTTTTGTTGTATTTTTTTCACATTTTTAGCAATGTCACTTTCATTTTTCCACCTCAATTGAGAGGGAGCTGCCAGCAGCTCCATAAACTTAACTCAATTGGTTTATACTTGAGTATAAACTGTAAATCACATAGGGCCATTAGGCTATTAATCAGACCATATTGACAGCTCCTCCATGGTGTGTTAGATATATTATTGACTATAATGGAAACAATTTGGCTTGTACATGACGAAGTTACATTCTATTATAATGTATACTTTATAGATCCATGGCAAAAAATGAAGAAAAAAAATCTTGTCGCGTCCGAGTCGTTATAACGTGCATAAATAAATAGTAATATTTTTGTTTCTGGTCAATTCAATTTTAATTTTTGTCTATTCAATTGCTTCATTGGCAATAAATGAATTTAAGAAACCATAGCTCTTCAAAAAACCAGCAAATTTTATAATCCGAGTTTTTTTGCTAAAACTCGAGTGCCATGGACCATTTCTGCTAACAGAGAAACATGCAGCATGTATGCAGAAGCCATTTGTACAGACATGCTTTACTAATGCTCCTGCACACCCATAAATTGTGAAGGTGTACTTAGAGAGAGAACCTGTTTAATCTTCATGCCATTAGATGCGGTTTCATATTAAAGACACCCACTTTGCAGTTGAGTACACTATACTATACCCTGTCTGATTTTATGTATCATAAAGTGAGTTTTGATTACTCTTTGATTTGCGCTGTGCTTCTGGAACGTGTTGATTGCGATCGCAATTTATCTTTTGTATTTTGGCTGTAAAGCTTTTTTGATCGTTATGATAGATATCCGACCAGTTTGTTGAATTCCAATTTTTACAGAAATCCAGTGTATTTATTTATTTTATTTAGTTTTATTATAAATTAGGCATGTTATCCAGAATACAAAACACAAACATGAATTTTCTCTAAACCGCTAACCTGTAAAAGAACAATGAAAAACAAGTATTAAAAAAGATTTTTTTTACATTTTATACAAATTTTTTCAAAAAATAGTGCATAAAATTTGTCTATAAAGATATTGAAAAGATATGGAAGATAAGCTATAAGCTTCAGACTACAATAAGCAGACGGTATTAATAATTCTGCCTCATTACAATCCGCAACTTATCCTTTTGGCAAGAAAACAGGTTTGGCGAGGAAACAAGGACCAAAAACAGTTATTATATTTTATTGTTGCTGTCTTGCCACCGAGATAAACAGAAGAAAGGAGTATCCATTTCACCAAAATCATGACAACCCAGTTGCCATAATCGGCTTGAAACCCATTATGTGCTTTTGAAAACATGATGGGTGGATTAGGGAGGAGACGTATTAACATACCCGTATTTAAGTAGAATTCTAGAGCCGCGTTTAGAATAAACGCCCCGAGGCATTTAATAAATGCCCCCTTAAATGAGTGTGAACAAATCTAATGGAAGCAACCATCATTCCTAACACATCCTATTAATGTACTACTTCGGTCGGATTATATTTTTGCTAACTCGGTTGGAATCTATAAGTATTTATGATCACACAACGACACATTTTGGCAGTAATTATGTGTTGTAGTTCCACATTTACAGTGAAAAGAGGCGTTTACAGAGATCCCAAGTCTCCCGAAAATTTGCGGGTTCTCCCGATTTTCGAGACCGTCTCCCGCCCTCCCGATTTTTATTAATATCTCCGATTTTTTTAAATATCACGAAAATTTCACGAAAAATGTGATTTCCACGATGTCATAGAGCAATGAAACAAAATTTCTTATCTTAAGCCAATATACTATGGCGCTCGCTCAGCCATAAAATGTCATAAACAAGGCCAGGGAGTTGTTATTTAAGTTGTTTATCAAAATAACAACTCCAGGGAAAGGCACTGGCCTAGATCCGTGGTGTTTATCCTCCATGATACGATCTTTTGCATCCAGTGCCGACCTCATTCAATGAGATGGCTGTCAGTTGAGTAAATAAATTTCAACAAATTAACGAAATCAGAAATCACTTGGGAATGGATGGGGCCCCAAGTTTTCGCCGCGAAGATTTGGAACAGAATCGGTGCATAAAAAATACTTTTTCTTTCAAGTAAGCTTCAGTTCTTTAATAAAAATACTAAAAATTATAGTTAATAGGTTTTGTTACTAAGCAGTCTTCCGAAAAATGAAGTTTATTTTATATCAATCCCGAAATACATGTAGGGCTTAGGCCTAGGCTGGCTCTATCTGCAACACTGCAGGGTATGTACTGTATGTGTGTTGTGTTGGGTGGGCGTCTGTGTGTAGTGGTGGTTGTGACTCTGCGGTATTAGGCCTAGTTACGCACGTATAGATGGAGACTAGCAAGGCAGGATTTAATGTTTTTTTCAAGGCATTATGTACCAGTTATTATAGGCTAGACATATATAAATGCCGACTTAAAACATGTAGCATGATTTACTAACTAAATTAAAATATATATATATTTTTTAATTTTTCAGTAAAATGTGTGAATCTTGCAAGTTGCAGTTACCTTGCTAGAATTCTATGTTCTTTGATGAGATGTAATAAATCAGCCAACATGCCAATGAACCAAGCAAAGCCTTGTTGACTGCTGCCAAGAACGCTTTACTAGCTAAATGCTAAATAAATAATAATATTTATAAATTTATATTTTAGGCCAACTGCAATGTGTAAACAAATGTAACTGTCTCTTATACACATCTAGATGTGTATAAGAGACAGACGTCATTTTGTGTAATACTTTCATGTTGCACAGCGCGTTGTAAGGCGTCACAGCGCGTCGCTACAGGAGGCGATAGCTTCATGAAAAAAATCTCCCTATTTTTTGGTTTTCAAACTTGGGATCTCTGCGTTTATTTGGGTACATATATGTATCTATTTTAAACCGCAGGTCCACTATTAATCTCAGATAAGATAGTATAATACGTACTCCAAATATCGAAATGCACGCCATCGTGGCGGGATTCAATATTTCAACATTAATTATGTCATCATCAGGATTGATGGAGTATGTATTATACTATCTTACAACTACTTATTTGAATAAATGCCCCCTAGACTAAAAGCAATGGGGCATTTATTTTTCCTTGAGTAATCACCCCACCCCTCTAAATGACACTAAACAAATCTAATGCAAACAACATCATTCCCTAGACATTCTTTTAATGACGTTCTATTCCAGTAGATTGCTTGGCAAAGAATAATCTCAGTTGGATAAAATGGGCTCAGGCATTTCAAGGGTCTGTTCTGGGCCACATTTATTTAATATATTTGTTTTGCCTTTTCATGCTTCTCATATAGGAAGCAGTACGCAGACGATACAGTAATCTATAGACCAGGATATTGTCCTTGTGATGCCCTTGACTTAGGAAAGGATACTGAAAAAACCAAATGAAGTTACATGTAAAAAAGTGTCGAAGTCAGGCACATAACTGGGAAATTGAATTATATACCTATTACTTATACAATTGATACCAATTATCCCCTAGAATTTGTTAAATTTACACAGATATCTTTGTATTGAGTTTCCAGGTGACATAACATGGTCAACCCATGTTACTAATGTATCTATGAAATCAATAAATATTGTAGGGTTTATCAAATTGTTTGTTGGTTTAACGATATTTAAATTTTACATATACTTTTTAATGCTTTTAGTCGTTTCATTATCAATATACACTGCCCCTGTGTAGGATCCACTCCAAAACAGCATAAGATAGTTATTACCAAGTCATAGAGATGTAGTCATAGATTTAGGTTTTGTGTTGAATGCGATTTTGCTGACAGGCTTAGAATCCATAACTTACCTGATATAGTTCAAAGAATGAATTCCAGCACATTATTTTTATTGAAATATGCTTGCATATTAGGTGATCTTAATATTTTGTATGCCCGATATCCAGAAACTTCCAACTTTAAACACAAGTATGGTAGAACTAATTTATTTAAATATTCTTTGTGAAATTTCTACGAATTTGGGCACAGATTCTTTGTGGTTTTCGTGATAAAGCCTTGTACAATTGGGGAGGGTTTAGAAGAGTATTTATTAAATATGTTATCAGAAGCATCAAATTTTAGAATATTTTTCAGATTTTTACCAACTACTTTTCTATTTTACTACCTACCGGTACTTGGGAAAGCCCTCGACAGAATGCAATTCTCTGTACTGTTCACCCAGAACTATTGTACTTTTGTCTATTTTCTTCTTTCCCCCAAGAATTGAATTTTTTTTTAAATTATAAAATAAAAAATAGCCTGTTTGGGCCACTGTTGTTCCCTTTCCTGTGAACTGACTTTACACAGCCTGTGCTATTCTTATTTAAATTTACTACAAGTAGGTCATTGCATAGTTGCTAACTTATACGGATTGACTGCGAGCCTCACGGATAATTGATCATTTACCAGTTTTACTACGGATGAACAAAAATTCACGGATTTCATGGTTACTCGCAGATCAAGAATTTTAAACTAATAAACAATGATTTGCGAACTGCATATACAATAAGTAATATGCAATATATACAGTAGTTCATTTGCCATTTGTCTGTAATGTTTGTTTTTTTTTTTGTTTATCTGTTTTCCACATGGAAGTGCTGTCTGTACATTGTGATTCATGAATAAAGTGAGTCCGTAAAAATTGTTTTAATTTTAACTCATTCTAAGTTTACAGTACTGTACTTTGGTCAAATTTAAATGTGTATAACTTTTTGGTTTTATTAAGTTTACATACATA